GGGGAAAAAAAATTTTGAATTTTTGGCTTTCTAAAAATTTTTTCAAAAAATTTATTTTAAAGATTTTTAAAAGTGCTTTATAAATAATGATTAATTTCATTACAACATGTATTGGTAGCAATCCTCTGTTAAAACTAATGTCCAAATAACTGTATCTCACTTCTATTCTCAATGACCGTGTAGTGTAGGACAGCGCCGCGAGAATTCCATCGGCATCGAAAGCAAGTTTTTTGACTTGCCTAGATAGCCGAGCGTATAGCGCGCTGTTCCTGCACTGCTAGGAGACAGATTCCAAAGGTCGAGAGTTCAATCCCGGGCTGGGGCGGAAGTGGGTATCCATGTAAAAAGTGAATTTCTTTGTGCTTTCTATATATATATATATATATATATATATATATATATATATATATATATATATATATATATATATGTCCAAAATTTAAATAATGTCTCAGTAATCGGATAACAATATTAAAAAAAGGTAAAGAAAAACAAAAATCCTCAGTTAAGCTTTAGCGCTTTCATATTCAATCTTCAGAAGCTTACAATAGTATCATAGTAATGGAAAAGATTTTTAGACGATTGTTTTATCTTATGGAGGAGGATATTGATAAACTAACGGAGTTTTATGATCTACTTAACCAAATGAATTCGGATATCAAATTCACGATGGAAACAGATGATTTGCAAATGCCATTCCTCGATGTTCTTGTAACAAAGGATAATACCAGCTTAAATATGGATATTTACTATAAACCAACCGACACACACCAATATCTGCATTTTGGATCAAGCCATCCCCATCAGACTAAAACAGCTATACCATATAACCTCGCAAGAAGGATATGCACCATTGTGAGTAATACCAATATCAGGGATATTCGTTTGGAGGAATTAAAATTGTATTTATTAAACCAAAAATATCCAGAACAACTTGTAGATAATGGTATAAAGAAAGCCAAGGAGTGCGATAGAAGTCAGTTACTTTTAAACATACGACGTGCGAATGACGTTGAAATAATTCCATTTGTGCACACGCATAACCCGAGAAATCAAAACGTGAGTTCAATTATTCATGAATTGAACAACGTACTTAGAGAGGACGAACAAACGAAAAACGTATACAAGAATTGTCGTTTTATCAACAGTAAACGCCAACCCAAAAACCTAAGGAGAATACTTTGTTCTTCCAAATTCAACGACCATACTTATACAGTCTCTAAGTGTAGGAACCCTCGATGCGGTACATGTGAATACATTACAGAAGGGACCAGCTATAATTTCAATGGGCGTGAATTTAGAGTTAAAGAAAACATGTCATGCGATACAAAAAATGTCATTTATGTCATCACATGTCCGGGATGCAAGGAATATTATATTGGTGAAACCGGCAAACTCTCCGTGCCCGTGTACGTGTACATAAGCAACACATTAGTACACCCGAATACATCAAATTCAATTAAGTTCGCACCTGGAGGCGTGTGGTAAAAAACAATTCAAAATTTTCCCTTTCTATAAACTAGTTGTGCCACTGATATCCAGAGAGGGGAAAAAGAAAGACATTTTATTAGTATTTTTCAGCCAAAACTTAATAGTGTTTTATAAATTACTTGTTTTTTCCCCCTTCTTGTCATATTGTATCTATGACGTCATAATAATTTTTAACGTTCCGCTTAACATGACGTCATAATCACTGTTACTATGATATATTGTAAGCTTCTGAAGATTAATATGAAAGCGCTAAAGCTTAACTGAGGATTTTTGTGTTTTCTTTTTCCCTTTTTTTTAATATATATATATATATATATATATATATATATATATATATATATATATATATATATATATATATATATATATATTTATATAAAAAAGTTACATTTTAAAGCTTACAAATCCCCTCCCATAAAAAGTAAGTTTTTCAATCTAAGCTGATTTTTTTTTTAAACTAGCCCATATGCTAAGGTGAGCAATGTGGCCCATGAGCCTTTTATACATGGACATCAGATATCAGTGGAAACATCTGGCTAAAAAAGATATGCATCCCTGTCATCCGATGACACTCGCTGTATGTTCATTCTCCTGTAAATTGAATCAGTAGATAAATCAATATGAAAATCATGAACTGACGATGTGAGTAAACACTCAACACAAAGGTTAGATTATATTTAAAAAAATCATTGAATGAAAAAAAAATTGCGAAAAGTTAACTGAAAACGATTTTCTTCATATCTTTTAACAAATGTAGTAAACTTGTGTGTCAGTTTCTGCTTCTTTTGATAATTGTTCAGAGGTAGAACTGTTGGGTATCAAATAAGCCTGGAGATATATCTTTACAAAAATAAGGGAGGTTGGTTATGAAACAGCTGGCGCTGAAATCATTACGTTAAACATCAAGAGCTGGTGTTAGATATCCATCAATATAAATTTATTGACTGATTCTGAGGGCATTCTGCATTTTTGGACCCCAAAAATAATATGGCAAGCAGTTTTTTTTTTTTATTTATTTATTTTTGAAGCAGGTAACCTTTTTTTTTACATTAGTCTTTCAACAAAAAAGTAATATAAACTTATTTTACTTCGTGTGTCCTCTTAATGTATTTATTTAAGGAATGTTTTTAAGTTTTGTGTGAGTTATTGGTGTGTAAATTACACAGACTTGTTACGTACAAATTTCATGAAGCGCGATAGCGCTTCATGAAAAATACGCCTACGTGCAAGTCTATGTGATTCACACACCAAAAATTTTAACCTTAAAAACATTCCTTATATTTACATTTTACATGTTAGGGAGCAACTAAGATATACTCAATATTTAGATTTCTCACAGCCCTTTATCGTTGAATTTTAATAACGTCGCTGCAGACTCATTGTGACGTCACGTTAAGGGACGTTTCTCCATGTTTTTTCTTCGTGTGAGTATACACAAAATGGTTTTCAAATCAGTTTTACAGTTGGCTTGTGAAAAACACAGCGAATGTAAATATTACAATTTGTACCAAACTTAACAACGAAATATGGGTAAAATTGCCGACTCCTCGGGGTGAAACAACAACAACAATCAATAGTAAACATTTGCTTTAGAGTTATAATTATCAAAGGATTGAATAAACTAAATTATTGTTTTTCTAAAAAAATATCTATTAGTATTAAATTGTTTTGAAAAGGGAAAACTTGGAAAATAGAAAATGTTTTCATATTTTTTTTCGAAATATCAATAAAATTGATTAATGCTGCTGTTTTGGACCTGAAGTGATCATGCCTGAGAAACTATTGATAAATATTTATTGTTTTCGACTGAGACATTTGAGAAAAAAAAGTATGGTTCAAGGGTCAATAAAACAAATTTTGCCCGTGAACACAGTCAATAACTGTTTTGTTATACCCTTTAAATTTTAAAACTACACTCTACTACTGTCTTTCGTGAATAACCGAGGTTTATCCCGGTCAATTTCGTCAATGTAGATAGCCAAAGATTTAGCTTTACTAATTGCGTGACATATTATATCCATTTTTCATTTAGATCGGGCTCGTCAAACTGCACGTGACATTGTCTAACCCAGCAGGCATTTAGTAATGCTACTTGACCGGGGTTAATTGTCAGTGTGAAAATTGTTATGTGTTATTCAATTTTTCTCTAATATACTTTGTGAAAAGAAAAATTATCGAATTAATGCGCACAACAAAAGCGCAATCTAATAAAATAAACTTTTTGATTCGCTCTGTATAACAATCTGCGCAAGAGTATACGACACGGATCTATATGAGTCTAATTTTAAGATTAAAAAATTTTGAATTTTAATTTTTTTTCTAATTTTAATCATTACCCGTTATTTCAACGTTTAAGTTTCCAAACTTTCCTAAAGTTGGAAATGTGTTGCATCTTCCACGTTGTTTCAATGTTGAAATCAACAAACAGTCAACGCAGTTATGATAATGCTGTCCGAAGGCTAAAATGCCTGAAAAATATACATTTTATTTAGAGCTAGATTCTAAATTTAATATGTAATCCTTGTTTGAAATTGCTGTCAACTTGAGATAATAGTTTAATCAGGTTTTTTTTTAAATATTATGATGTACATGTAACATGACTGTGTTGATTACGTGACGTAGATTTATGATATTCCTCTTGTTGCACAAAATTCGCTTCGGCACAAGTGAAAACAAAAATATTGTGCAAAGTTTGTTACATAGATCAATTCATATTGATGTTTGGGACATAGAAAGTGCTTGGGGCAGATTTTTTTTTTTAATCGTTAAGAAAATATCTTACGAGAAATTCAACTTACCAGCGTAAGAAGGGGTATTTCCCACTCTTTATGCATTAATACAAAAGCAGATAAACTACACACAATCCCCCAGCAAAATTCAGTTAGAAGATATACTTTTCTTCACACAGAATATCTTCAATTTGTCCTTGTTTATCACTTGTGCCAGTCCAATATAAACACGATTTATAAAGTCTTAGTCTTCTAAGGAAGGTTAAAGGGAGCGCTTCACACATAATTTTTCGCTTTTGTTTGAATATATGCATATCGGACAAACATAAATAGGGTTTAGATTTCAAATGTTCAACATCATATCAGCACACTCGAACTTAAAAATCTATCCTTACACTATTAAAACAACAAGTTCACAAAATAAATCTTCATGTTATGAAAAAATTATGACAATTTCCCCGTCCTGTCAGCTCAAGTATGCAGTCTTGACGTCATATTCTATTATCGTCATATCTAGGTAGTTCAGAGAAGTTACTACAAACTGAATAGTTTGATATTTTACGGACAGCCTTTTCTAGCTGCGAACTTTGTAAAATTTGAATCTTCAACGTTGTTTAACTTAAATTTGTCAAAAAACATAAAGTTGAGAATTTGTTCAGCTTCAGCATTGTTTTAACATTGAATATCGACGAGCATTCAACGTTTAAATATCAAAGAACATCAAATGTTGAGAATATGTTGCAGCTTCAACGTTGTTTCAACCTTGAAAAATCGACGAACATTCAACCTTGAAAATATGTTGCAGGTTCAACGTTGTTTCAACTTAAAAAATGTCGAGGATTCAACGTTGAAACCTAACGTTGAAACAAAGTTAAAATATAGTTGATCAACATTGCAACCTATTTTCCCACCTCCTTTCAACGTTAAAACCTTTGGTGCCTGTGGGTAAGACCCTGACGTCATATAACGTCGTATGCATGTTGGATTTCAAACCAAAGCCTGAACCGAGCTGACTTTAAATGAAGAACCGTTTTATTGACTATTTTTCTGCAACAAATTCATTAAATCAAGGCAAGGTTATTTTTCTTTTAAGTTTTGTTGTTATTCTGAAACGTGGCTTTAGCTTTTTTGTACAAAGCGATGCATTGTGGGGCAAAATTACTGCGAAAAAATTCTATGGAATGAATATGCAGTAGTCCGAATTTTCTCTTTGCCCGGCTTTTCGTTGGTCGCAATTACAAGTGTAGCTTCGCGACGCTCGCTGCGCTCATATTAGTAAACCGATAATCCTGATTTTTAGGTCAATGCTGGTTTTAAAATAGATGAATGCTATGTCTATCCTTTGCTTGCTGATGCTGATCCTAGTTATGCTGTTTTTTTAAATGCTGATGCTGATGTTAGCTCTATCCTGATGCTACTAATGCTTATGCTATGCTGGTTTATGTAACACAATTAGTTCCCTGCACTGTAGGCCTATTATTTACACACCGAGTTGTTCACGAATTTTCCGGGTTTTTTTTGGGGATCCTAACAAGGGGCAAATAACGGGTGTAAAAGGTCGTTAAAAGGATGTTCACTCCCCCCTGGAATCTGATCCCCTCTTGATTTTTTGGAGGGCTCTGAAGGCCATGCTCCTCTTTTGTTAATGTTAGATGGACTTTTGAGCTTAATCTGTTTTCGTATTTTTCCACGTATCATAGATGTCTATTATGTTACATGTAAATTATATTATCTGTATTATAAAAAAAAGAAAATGCAAATTTTCCCCCTTTCCCTCTAAAAATAAAAGGGAATATACTTGTTATCGTCTTCTTAAAAACTAAAACTGTTTTTCCTTATTAAGTAATAGGTATTATGGGCTTTTTATTTATATTGTAGATTCAATGCTCCAAGGCCGTATCAAAGGTAAGAATACCTTATACATTTTCTCAAGCTTTAGATATCCAAGGCTCTGTACAATGTATCGATGTTTCAATGAAAATATGAAAGTTAGGTGGACTGTTCAATAAATAATGTCCTGGGCTCTATGATATAAAATATAGAAATCATTTGACATTAAACTTGTTATTCTCTCCTAATAATTTGAAATGAATTGATTACAGTTGTTTTGAAAACTTGTCATCACATTCATTGTGAGAAGCTGCTAAACAAGGGCTATTCGAATTAAAAGTTAATGGTTAAGTATCAGTAATCAATAGCAAAATAAAACCATTCATGAAAGCTTTCAAACTTTTTCATAGTACCAAAAAAAAAAGCAAATGTAATAGTAATTTGCGTAACCGGGAGTTGAGCGAAGGGACACTGTCGTTTTCTGCAAGGACAACTTATATGTACATTTTAATAAATGAAATGTTTAGATAAATATTTAAATCGTAAAAGAGCTTCCGCACATTTCAAATCCCATCGCATTGCGCAATTTTTTTACAGAATCCAATATATTTTTATGGAATAATGACAACAGTTAAGTGGTTGGGTCTCTAAATTTTGACCCTTTTAAGGAGGAATGCCACACCAACTTTTTTTATTTTATAGATCTCTAAGTAAACCTTTTCCAACAATGCTTTCAGCATTGAAAGGTGGAGATTAGCTCTTAATGAAAAAAAAAATTAAAAAAAATTATCTACATCAAAATTAGATACTATCTTGTAAAAAATTTGCTGTAAATGAATGGATCACGTGAATACCTAAAAAAAATATATAAAGAAAAGCCTAATAGATTTTAATTTTTTTTTGATAAAAATATTTATGAAAATAAAAAACACATAATTTGTGCATATTTTTTAAACTTGTGGTTAAAATCTTCTTAAAACTAGTCAAAACTGGGAAGAACATATATCATGTTTATAAATGAAATTGAAACAAAATCGCCAATTTTTAGAGAAATTAATTTCTTTAATCGTGGCCAATCCCAAATAAAATTCAATCGATCCCAACCATAATTGTACAATTAATGGTAATAAATAACATTTCCTCAAAAACAGTAGTCTGATTAGGTGTAATTTGGCTTAAAACATAATTGAACTTGACAATCAAATAGATTTCTTCATTGCAAATACTTGAAAGAGGCAATAAATTAGCATTTCTTCATCTTGCGTTAATTTTGATCGGGATCAGTTTAAATTAGGTCCAAAAATTAAAAACAAAATTAATTTCTCTAAAATTCCTCAATTTCATTTCAATTCTTTTTTAAAATATGATTGACAAACACGTTCTCCTCAGTTGTGACTAGTTTCATAGTGTTTTTAACCATAGGTTTAAAAAATATTTATAGATAATGTGTTTTATTGTCATAAATATTTTTTTATAAAAAAAATAAAAGGTCTAACCAGCCTTTCTTTAACATATTTTATTAAGTATTCATATGGTGCATTCGTTTACAGCAAACATTTAACTCGAAAACATCTTATTTGAATATAAATATTTTCTTCATTTTCTTTGAAAAAAACACAAAAAATTAATATAAAATAATTGAGAGCTAACATCGGGCTTTCAATGCTGAGAGGATAACTCAAAGATCTATAAAATAAAAAGTCGTATGGCATTCCACCTTAAACTGTTTACGAATTAACCAACAATTTCTTTGTCAAGAATTGAAAATTTCAAATACGTTCATGCTTTAATGATAAAAATAAATACGTTCTTTCGTGTAGGTGTTTATTTTTTTTACAATAATGGGATTTATAACAAAAGTACGCTCAGAAATGTATACCAAGCAAGACATCCGTTTCTGTCTATGTGAACTGTCCTTGAATTATCATGCCTTGATATATTTTTCTTTCTATTTATCTGACTAATATTGGTTTAAAATCATTAAGTCTTGATATCTAGAGAATGCTTGTTTTAGCTTCGCTAGAATAAAGCATAAATTATATAAAGCAAAAATTGCTTTGAAAATTTTTCAATTGACATGTTTAAAATATTAAGTATATCCTTCTGTTTTAGAATATCAAGCGAGAAATTTGCGACGGTTTAATGGTAAGAATTAGATACAATTTAATTTTATGAGACAATATTCATTCTTTAAAATTATTATGAAAATCTTCAGAGAAATATATGAAGACAAACGCTTTTTTTTTTCGCTTCACTCTATATCGATTTGATCTACGTTTGTTCAGAAGCAAAATGAGTTTTGATTTTTATGGATATTTAGCCATGTAACTTTGTGATCAAAATATATCGAAATAACGATCAGAATGTCTAGCTCCAATCAATACAAACAGAGCAAATACCGACCACTTAAACACTAGAAGTGGGATCAGGTGCAATGGAGGAATCAGCATTCCTGTGCCCACCAGTTGTGCAACCAGGTACTCCTTGTTATGATCGGAAAAGAACAGATATTTGGCGCTTTTGTAACGGTCAAACAAACATTGAGATATAATTGCAGATGAAGCACATGTGCCATCCCATTGATTGATTGTTTATATACTGTTTAACGTCCCTCTCCAGGATATTTCACTGATATGGAGACGTCACAATTGCCGGTGAAGGGCTGCAAATTTAGGCCTATGCTCGGCAGATACGGCCTTTGAGCAAGGAGGGATCTTTATCTTGCGAAACCTGCTGTGACACGGGGCCTTGGTTTATACGGTCTCATCCGAAGGCCCGCCCCATTTAGTCGCCTTTTACAACAAGCAAGGCGGTGCTGAGGACCTATTATAACCCGGATCCCTACAGGGGGGGGGGGGGGCATCCCATTGAATAATAATAAAAAAGTCAAGCTTTTTGTTGTGATACACGTGCATTTTTTTGCAGACGACATAAGCTTATCAATGAAGTCATATTTAGAAACAGTTATACATTTTTTAATTAAAGACATAAATGTTTACTTTAAAAGCGGGAAAATGTGATATGAAGAAAATAAATTGGGAATACGATTCAAATTAAAATAAAAAAAACATCCAAATTAAAAATAGAAAATAGTATGATAATTATAATTTTTACATCAAATGTCATTGCCAGGTAAAACTTGTCTTTTCATCTATATTTAATACAAATTTGATACATATTTTATGATCAAAATATTTCACATTTTTTTATCTTATATAATATTAGTCGTAAGTCCTTACCGTCCCGAACTGTGTCAACCAATATTCGATCAATTTATCTCCGAGTATCTTCCAAAAGCAGAACGGAATTGGCTAGACAATGGGCAAAAAATAACACAGGTTCATGATCCATGCATTGTTATCTGCCTTCATTCATCTAGAGCTCCAGAGGATGTTAATTTGACCTTGCAAAAGCTTTTCATTTCAGGTAATATTTTTGAAAAATTAACTTTAATATTATTTGTTGATAGCCAGAAGGTACATATACATATATTTGTACCCGTTGTTAAACACTTCTTTATACGTTTCAGAATATTAACTATAGAAAAAAGGAAAAGTGCACTTAAGCGACATGTATGTTAGTTGGCTCCAGGTGTTTTGCGAATAATGCCGGGCGACACTTGCTTTTGAGACTGGGGTTTAACATTTTGTCACATTTCTATTGTCAATCATATGCATACCAGTTTTCAGCGACAGTGTTGACATCGAACCGCAACTTGACCATTGGTCTCATTTGCACAGAATGTTTATTTTGATTTAAAAAAGATGATGGGTGCATTTGGCTTGTGCACAATATGCAGGAATCGGTTGTACGAAGCATTTATGGTTTAAATGTTCTTTATTTGGTTGGCTGAAGATAGCTGATCAGATTTTACCAACACTTCCAAAGGGATTTTTTTCTTTAGTTTGAAAGAATTAAAAAGTTTGTGATTTATGTTTTTTTCCGTTTTTCCTAGGCAGTACTACAACATAGTAATGCTTCACAAAATAAACACCTAAAGTATTAATATCAGAACACAATAACATCATAGATACGTTTACATGATACGTGTACATGTACATTATAGAATAAAAGATTGGAATTGATTTCGCTCGGGAAGCAAACTGAATGAAAATTTATATAATTCAAAATTCTAATACATCAGTACATAAAAACGAAACTGACAAAATAAATGGTTGTTTGCTTGAAAAAAAAAATGCCCCATGCAAGGCTCGAATCAAAATCTTTTCGTTTCGAACGCACTGAACAGGTAGCCTATTTGTCTGAGCTATCGCCGCTAAACATATACAGAAGATTTTAAAAGGTCAAAGAAGCACCACATTCACACAGTTGGAATTTTTTGGGAAAAGTTAATTTTCGTGGTCTCTGGGTCTTCACTCCATTTTTTAAAAATGTGTATTCCTTTCTTTGAATTATTTTAATTCAAAGAAACAGAATCAGACAAATAATCTTTAAAAATCATGGAGAAAAGGCCCAGAGATAGAACATTTTTAGAAAAAAAGTGTTTAAATATGTACCACTATGTACCAAATGTCTGATCTGGCCAATTTTCAAGCTTTTTTTTTTTCTTTTTTTTTTTTTTTAGCAAATCAAAGCTCAATTTCGGAAAAAAATGTCCTTTCCTGTTGCACAGAAACCCGATAAATTAAAAAAAAATATTAAAATATGTCGATAAAATTTTCAGTTTTCAATTCAGTTGCTGAATGCCAAACAAAAGCGCCCTCGTTCTTCATTCATATCAAAAGGGTAATGTTGGCCAATTTGCGGCTCATATCTAGTTTTTTAAATAAGTCTCCAAACTACCGTCAAATTAGCCACTAAATTAATAGGGTCCCTTTTGTCAACGATTGTTTTTATAATCATTTTACTCACGTGACAGTCCACGTTACGATATGCCAAATCTTTCATTGAATAGCTGTTGAACGTTTCTTTGTGTTTGTCATTAGAGGTTTCTATTCGAACAGTAGCTATTGTACTTCCAAATTGAATTCGAAACTATGGGAATTGTTTGCTCAAATCTTAATAAGGTTCAAAGATGATTATATTGTCTAATTTTACTGTGTATTTTTCAGTAAAAGTGTTTTAAAAGAAGTCTGGTATTGGTAGTTACATTGTAGATTAGTAAATACAGGATCAGTATTATGGTCTTCGGGACGATACATCTACCTCATCCTTAAACACTAGAATCATCTATTATTTGTGGACCACGAAACTACACACTCTCCCTTTTCACCAATTAAATTCGTACTGAAGCATCTGACTGCAAACAAATCATATGTGTTATTGTTTACATTCCACATCCATTCGATTTAAATGTCTCCGCCTATTTTTGGGTACCGTAGATTCGATTGTGGTCCCCTTCAAATTACCGGAATTTAAAGCTTTATGTATGTTCTTTTCAATGATATTATCTATAATGATAGAAATATATAATGTATGTATGACAAAAATGTCAAGGCATAAATATCAAGAGCATGTGCTTACCCAATAATCAAAGATTAATTATGCAAAATATTGAAATTTAAAGATTGTAATGGGTAGCCGAAAAGATTTCAAATGACGTACTAAAGTGCATCTATTCTTTAGTGGTGAAAATTTAAAAAGAGCTATACTTGAATATTAAGAGGCTCCTAATATTCAGCATTTATTCTGTAAAATATCAGCTTGCAAAATATGGATTATATTGAAATATTTTTTATCTATCTATGTATATATGCAGGATATAAAACCACTTCAAAGTGAAAAAAAAATAACGGTGTTAAACGGTGTTACATGTAACCATGTAAAACAGTTTCTTAGCCGCCATTTTATTTACAATAACAACGCTTCGAACGGAATCGCGTGCCAGATTTTCATATTACGCCTCGACGGAGACGTAATACGGAAAAATTCGGGGCGTCACGTGATTAGCTTTCATCCAATCAGTAATCGACAATTTTTTCTGAAGCGGGATAAAATATATAATACACGTCTTAATCTGACTTCCTGATCGAAAATGAATTGAAAATAGAAAGAAAGCATACACACATAAAACATGAAATTGTTTGATTATGTGATTTTCATTTTTAACACAAAAAAAAAAAGAATAAAAAAACATCTTTCGTTAATATTGTCTATTTTTAACTATATTTTATCAGCAAAGTCGGGACATGTTTGCTGAAACACCCTGTATCTTTTATCTGTGGTGAAAAAAAAACAATATTATGGACAGAGTTAGGGGCACATTTACATGTACCGAAAGAGACAAAACTCCACTTACACATTAAGGGCATATTTACTGTCAATCAACATCTCAGAAATTATGATATAAAGTATTCATATAATTGCTTTAAGGTACTATACATTTATGTAGGACTTACTGAATCAGAAATATGCAAAGTATGAAAAAACGAATGTCAAACATTTTTAAGGTAAAGATTCTTCTTTCCCTTCGCATATGGATAGGGTTTGTTTAAGAAATAAACAACGTTATCCAGTGAACATGGCGTTATGAATAGCAATTGCTCACGCTACCATCATGGAAAATATGCCAGCAGAGCTATTGCTTTTCATAATGCCATGTTCACTGAATAATCGTTGTTTATTACTTGTATTTGCTTTTGTGATTTTTTTTCAAGAATATCAGAGGAATTCCTGACGTACATAAGGACGCGGCTTCTTGTCTTCAGTAAAGAAAAAAATATACTGCTCTTAAATCCGTACACCTGATCAATGCTCCTTTTCTCTAATAAATCACAAACAATTTATTAGGTATTTCCCTCTCAAACACAGATATCTGGATACAAGCAGTGCCGTCATTACACTCTCTTAATTTTTCTTTTGATGCAGTTGTGGCGTCATCGATCAACGTTATTGAAATCCTCTGACAAAAATCAATAATTTAACACTGATAAAAATGAAAATGCTTTTATAATGATTATTACTCAAGAATGCTTTTCTATGCTTTTTTTAGTTATTCTATTTATTCTTGAAATATATATACTATTTAATAACAAAATTTTCTCCCTCTGAATGTTATTTCCCAAGTGTGAAGAGTTATCTTTACTTGTACAAATATGCATGATAAGAAAATATAAAAATATGACAGTTCTCTACAATTTTTTAAAAGTTTTATTATACAATTAAATGCATTGAACATGCAGCATTGTTAAGGCTTGAAAAAGAGGGCGCGACCTAATTTATACGGGAAAACTTGTGACGTCACATACAAATACGACTTTTATGTATTTCTCATAATACCTGAAAATGAAATAATTTGCAAATTTTAACTGTACTAGCATAATTAACAACACAAAAAATTATCAATGCATTAAAAAAAACTTGCTAGTTAAATCCCATATAGCTGGTTATAAACAAAGCACTGATAGCGATGAACTTGTAAACAGGACGTCATTTTGGTAAAAACTAGGGCTAATTGTAACGGGGACCGTTACAGATGTTCCCCAAACGCTCCCCATGTCCCTTTTCGTGCCCTAGCTTTTCCTGTAAGACCTTTTATAAATATACTAAGTATTTAAGGATTTCATTTAAAGTTACAATGATATCAACTATATATCGTTTAACGTTTTGCATGGGCGCACAAGTACATGTTCCTGCATATGCAAGATGATCATGGCATGTTGGTTAAGCAATTAACACATCTTTCTATCCCGCGAATAATAGAAAAAATACAGATATAAATTTACCACATTTCAAGTATATATCATTCTTTGAAATACCTATTCACATTTAAAGTCTATACTGATTTTAACCTCGGGCTCAAAGTTGGTTTTATTCCGACGACTAGGCAGTGTTAAAGTCGACTAAGGATATCACGCCGATGGCTAACCAATCAAAATGAACTTAGTCAATTGTAGTTCCATACATAGAAAAGGGGTTTTCCTTTAATCTGTTTAGATTTTTTTATATATATATTTCCTCTCTGGTCATTTTGACAACTCTGGTACCTGTGCCTAGTACATTTTATATACTATGTAAATAAATATATACATGCAAGGGTTTTTGACCGGAACTATTATTTTTTTTCAATGCATAGGAGGCTACTTTCTGGGGTTTACAAGAGATATTTATAAAGACATTCGTCTCAGCTAATGTGACCAATATTATTTAACACCTTCTCCTTCTTATTAATATATTTTCATGAATGCAAATACCTGATAATTTTTTTTACGAAGGAACGTACATGTATATTGATTTTGTATTTCTGGGGATTGCGTAATTCTAAAAAAAATCAATTAAATTTCAAAGGTTAAATAAACAAAGGATGCTTGGTATTAAAATATTATTTCAAATCAGTAGAATTGAATGCTATTTACGACATCCGAATAAATACATGTAATCATAAAAGGCTTATATACCAACTTTGTTCATCTGTACTTTAATTTCAAACACGACAGGATTTGTAATTAATTATATTAATAATTTCTATATACTTTGGAAACTCACATCAAATATTTTAATACTCCTTTCTCGAGCTCTTCTGCAGTTTCCTTGAAATGTTATGTGGGTCCGAGGTGTAATTTGAGCTTTACAGCGATTCTCTACTTTGTGTGTGGGGGGGGGGGGGGGGGGGGTGGGTATTTTTTCTTTCTACCCTGGGGTTAAGATCAATAATTAAGGTCGATTTCAAGTTCATAGGTCAACGTCATTTTGGTAAATAGCTTATATCAACATTTTATTCAGGTTACTAGTGACCTTGACCTAAGTATCAAGGTCAAGGGTAAAAAGATCTGCTTCAGTATGTTACATGTCTTTGCATTTAGAAGTTCTTAATTCTGCATGAACATCAAAAGACTTCAGTATACTGTCGTTTAACACATTGTGTGTGCGTGCATGTGCATGACGTCCTTGCATTTACTTTTGATGGTAGAATAATGTAGGCATTCATTCTATCTATTCATATTTGAAATTTCACCCTGTATTATTGAAAACTAAGAAAGTTTTAGGCATTTAAACTTTTAGCCAATCAGATTGCAGCACACGTGCACGTGTGTGCGTTCATGATTATTCATATATATCATGCTCTAGGTCTTCATAATGTAAGACTATGTTCAAAATTTCAAAGGATTTTGTCAGAAAACAAAAAAGATATAAAGACTTAAGTTTCAGCCAATCGAAACGAAGCGCACGTGCATGCGCGTGAGATCTTGCTATTTTGACCATGTCATCATGTCTATACTACTAATATATCCTTATATTTTGAGTTTCAAAGCATTTCATCAAAAATTTAAAAGGTTACGGCTATATCTATCATATTGGTCATTTCAGGCGTTACACCTGTGCGCACATGCACGCACGCGCGCGCAAAATGACCTTCGTTCCGCACATCTACATAACATACCTAGTGACCCTAAAAAGGTTTTACCTAGATCGGATGAGTATTTTTTGAGAACACTCGCGGACAAAAAAAGTACCGGAGAAGAAAATTCAGAAAAAAGTAAAAACAATATGTTCCCCAACTTCGTTTGGGGAACATAATTACGTATTTCATGTGCTGTGAGAGGCAGATTGGGAAATTTTTTAACAATGAAAAATGCGTTTCATTATTAAACAGAATATTATTTACAGGTTTTAAATAGTCGATTTATACCAATGTATATCCTTTGTTAAGTGCAACTATTCATAAACTATCAAGAGAATGTATTTATTAATTATGTCGTGTTTTATGTACAGGTTACGTACATTTTTACATTGAGATGCCTCATAAAATCGTATTTTCGCAAGGGCGTACACTTAAAAGATCTAAATCATTTTTTTAAATATTGATAAAGGATATTTTTCTCAACTTGAAAAGTACTGCTGTTTTCCTTAAATCGAGGGCGTGATTTTATAAATACACATAATATTTGGTGAAAGTCAAACATATTTCAACATTTGTTTATTTACCTGAAAATTTAGCTATTAAAACGCGAATTCTATTCAAAGCAGCAGCACTTTTCAGAAACTACAAAGTATGTAGAAACAATTAATACCTTTAATTTTTAATTTCAACCAGGGTATGCCCTTGCGATAATGAAATTTGTACATGACCTACATTCAGTACACGAACTAAGCATTTATCACGTGACTGTCCATATGGATGGGACCAAACTTCGTACAGTATAGAGTGGGCTATATTATGCTATTTCCATTCGTATTTAAGTGCTGTGATAATAAAACAGCTTAATTAAAATAAATTCAGTTTTAAAAAATCACCCTTTTTGCAAGTCTATTTTCCATTGATTTCTTATAGTAGGCCTTAACAGTGCTGCGTAAAAATTGAATATTTAAAGATATAAATCAGCAATTTTAAATGTACTGAATTTCTTTTTTTTAAAGAATATCATAAAAAAACTTATATTTATTCCTCTTACGAAACATTTCATATATATACTTCTCAACACGTTATCAGAATGCAGTAGAGTTTGTTCTACACGAGTGTGATGGAACCATTGCACACATGGGAGAAGCAATTGTGTCTATAGTCCTATGAACGCAGTTGATGACTACCTGTTCATAGTGAGAGTGCAGTGGACATGCAAATATATGTTGATAATAAGGTCATTGTATCTTCAGTAAATGTGATATGTTTTAAATAAGACTGTTTATGCACTTTTTATGGTAACTTGTCGCCAAGTTTACATTGTACTCATTAATAAATTCATCCTTTTATAAAGGGATAATTGGCATAGATACCCGTACCTTTATTTTATCGTCAAATTCATGCAAATAAGGTATACTGTAAAATCAAAAAAAATTCGTTGAGGTTTAATTTTGGCTGTTTTGAGGTCTTCTAACATAATCCGACCACATGCAGCCTGGCTTTCATAAAAAATAAAGTCATTATTTTAGGGAGAAGTCGATGTTTTTAAGCAAACAAAATATTGGAGAATATTTTTTTTTTTTTAAAAATCAGAACTTAACCATGCACGCTAACAAAAATATTCAATAATTTATATAAATAGGGCATTTTCCTTTGTAATTTACGTTATTTTCTTAGATCGATTCGACCCCCTAAAAAAGTCTTTTTATTGCAAAAATGAGTGTTAAATTTTACCTGGGTTTTTTTTAGAACTCTGTCTATACTAAAAAAGATTCAAATATTTTGTGCTTGTACAAGTGTTTTTCTCTTTATTTGTAATTAACAAATGTTGCTTGCTTTAATCTTAATTTTAAACTGAAATAATTCTTTTTTTCGCTAGCAATTTTTAAACTGAATTTCTGTGCGACTTAATTTTATGTTTTTGAATCCTGAAGAGAAAGGGATTTAAAAATTTACTTTGGTTAGAAACTTTGAAAATTCTAAATCATTTCTCCTAAAGAAATATATTGAAAACGTAAATTACAATTTCATTGCTTTTCAAACCAGATACCCGTACCTTATTTTATCGTCAAATTCAGGCAAATAATGTATACTGTAAAATCAAAAAAAAAATCGTTGAGGTTTAATTTCCGCTGTTTTTTTTAGGTATGAAGAGGCCAGCATGTTCATGTCCTCTTCGAAATGTCAAATGATACACAATGTATTGTTTAAGTATCCTTTATCTACGAAATCAAATTCCTATGAACTTAGACTTTTCCTCAAAACCACAATAAATTGACCCAACCAAAATATGTGATTTTTCAGGATTGTTAGAACTCGTGAAAGATTGATGCTTTCAAAAAGGCTGAAAATTTCTGCATATTATATTCAAATATATGATTTCTCATTTGAAAACACCACCAGATCCATTTTATTAATGTTAAATACCCGTTGCATCAACGTAGTTAACTGTCTAGCAGACATTTGTGGCAGTTTTTCTCATCTGATGAGAAATTATATGAATTTTTAATGCAAGCTAAATATACATGTATAGTAGAAAAAAATTCGTTTTAGAATACTGCAGCTTACTTGACGAATAAACTTTTTTTTATATTTCTAGATATACAGGTGCTAATTGTCGGCATTCAACCCTGCGAAAAAACAATCAAGCCGAGCAGTTTGCTTAAATACAACCTCAAGTCGAGGATTAAAGATATTAGAGTTTATGATTTCACCGATATTGTTTTCTCTGATACGACTGAAAAGTGTTACTTATCCGACATCAATGTAGATGCTGTGGATGACATTTCTAGGTTTTGTGGACAACAAACAAACACAAGCACAGTAATGCCGGATAACTCATCAAGAAAGTATGAAACGACTAAAAAAAAGGATATAGCCATGGTAAAAGATTCTTATTCGAGCGATTCAAATGCATATGTGCATGAGGGCGAAAGCCATGCTCGTGACATTGATAATTGCTCGATGTTTGAAGAAGGGAATGCCGAAATTGCTACAAGTCAAAGAGAAAATTACGAACTTCATTGTCCAAAACCAAACGACAATCAACTAAACAACGCATCGTCCAGTTTACAACAGCCGATGAATCAAACTACTGAAAAGACGAATATAAAATGTTCAAAAGATCAAAAGTCAATAACCAAAATGGATAGCCAAGTCAATGGTATTGTTTGAGAGACTGTTTAATGAAAGGTTGCTTAACATATACATTCTAATACAGTGCAATGTTTATAATTTTGTTAAAATTCAACCAATACCATCCAAATTTACATGAGCCATGCGTTATTAAATGTTATATAAAATGATGAGTTCTTAAATTTGGTTCTTTTATCGATGATACTATATCATGACGGTTTATTTGAGGAATAACTGTCTTATTTGTCGACTTCATGAAGTGATCAATCGATTGGTTTGCGTGATAATATGCATTAAGGTATGTCACTCTTGAAATTTGTTAAATCAAGGATTTTTTAAGAAGTATATTTTATAGAGTACTCATGATATGTAACTAAAAATCGCAGAGAAAATAGAGAGTCTGAATGCATCTTACTGATCTACGGTACAATGAAGCTGACCTTTTTACACTTTAATTTTAAGTCTTTGGTTAATTACTTTAACCTTTGTCATATTTATCAGATGTAACAATGGCAATAAATATAATCTTATGTTACGTAAAACGGTTTGATTAATATTTATCATTGAAAAAAATCTAGCAAATTAATGTGCGTACAATGTATTTTTTGTGTAAGAAATACATAAACGGATTGGGCAGCAGGCATAGCCTATATTATACACGTAAGCCCTCTTCACAGGTACAAGATTAATAAAAACACATTATTATAGTAACAGGTTCATTTATCACCAATGAATTATATAAAACTGACACAAAAATTAATAGAATTTACGAGAAAGTACAAAAAAGTACATAAAAGAAAAAGAGAGAGAGAGAAAAAAGAATACTGGTTAATGTTGTTAAAATGATTAATTAATAATTAAAATATTGTTAATGTTTACGCTCGGGGCCGGATGGACACAAAGAAGAACGATGCTAATGGTTAGACCTTAATTACAAAGTTTATTAATTATTAATTAATAAAAACAGAGTTCAGTCACAAAATAAAACACTATTAAATTGCTTTGCTTTACTCCTTGTATACACGTAATTCATACGATTGATTCAGTTAAAACTTAAAAGTTCATACAATTTAGAAGAAAAAAAAAACATGTCCCTACGATATATTATAAAGATTGTTGAATGAATGAAAACAGTGTGTGCCAAAAAGAAAAAAACATATTCAGCATAAATCTAATCACCATATTTTATAAGTAGATAAACTTCTCACATTTAAAAGAACTAAAGTTGCACATCATTGATAAATATTGAGAAAGAAAAGTACATCCAAATCTACCTGAATCTTAAATTAACAGTGAAATATTTTATTGCATTTAACCTCAACGGCAAGGAATCATTTCCGAATAATAAAAGATGAATAATGAGATTTGTCAATTGGATACATTGTACAACTGTTACAAAACTTAAAAGGTAACAGAATTTACTGGATGGGGTGCAAATCAAAAAAATTTTAAATAATCATAAATATTTGAAAAGCGCTCGGTTCTTTGAACTTCTCAGAAAGGCCTAATTAAAAAGTAGAAATTTTTATCCCAAAAAAGCATTTTTAGATACCAATGTTTATATTAACATGATATGAAATAAGAAGTGACTTATGGAGCTTAGCAAAGAACCTTGAAGTACATTGAGAGGCATATAATAAAAATTGTTGCATGAAAAAATTTAATTTTCAAGCTAAATTTAAAGACTTTTTGAATTAAATTATAAATTAAAGAGTTGTCCTTCCTAGCTGAGGGTCGGAGTCCCTTAAAGAACTCTAATTTTTAAAACAAAAAAATACTCTGCAGTTAAAGAATTCTAACTTTTAAAACAAAAGAAATACTCTGCAGTTAAAGAATTCTAACTTTTTAAACAAAAGAAATACTCTGCAGTTAAAGAATTCTAGCTTTTAAAATAAAAAAAAATACTCTGCAGTTAAAGAATTCTAACTTTTAAAACAAAAGAAATACTCTGCAGTTAAGAATTCTAACTTTTTAAACAAAAGAAATACTCTGCAGTTAAAGAATTTTAACTTTTAAAACAAAAGAAATACTCTGCGGTTAAAGAATTCTAACTTTTTAAACAAAAGAAATACTCTGCAGTTCATGCTATGCAGTTAAAGAATTTTAACTTTTAAAACAAAAGAAATACTCTGCAGTTAAAGAATTTTAACTTTTTAAACAAAAGAAATACTCTGCAGTTAAAGAATTTTAACATTTAAAACAAAAGAAATACTCTGCAGTTAAAGAATTTTAACAAAACAAAAGAAATATCCTGCAGTTAAAGAATTCTAACTTTTTAAACAAAAGAAATACCCTGCAGTTTTCTAACTTTTTAAACAAAAGAAATACTCTGCAGTTAAAGAATTTTAACTTTTAAAACAAAAGAAATACTCTGCAGTTAAAGAATTCTAACTTTTTAAACAAAAGAAATACTCTGCAGTTAAAGAATTTTAACTTTTAAAACAAAAGAAATACCCTGCAGTTAAAGAATTTTAACTTTTAAAACAAAAGAAATACTGTGCGGTTAAAGAATTCTAACTTTTTAAACAAAAGAAATACTCTGCAGTTAAAGAATTTTAACTTTTAAAACAAAAGAAATACTCTGCAGTTAAAGAATTCTAACTTTTTAAACAAAAGAAATACTCTGCAGTTAAAGAATTTTAACTTTTAAAACAAAAGAAATACTCTGCAGTTAAAGAATTTTAACTTTTAAAACAAAAGAAATACCCTGCAGTTAAAGAATTTTAACTTTTAAAACAAAAGAAATACTCTGCAGTTAAAGAATTCAAACTTTTTAAACAAAAGAAATACTCTGCAGTTAAAGAATATTAACTTTTAAAACAAAAGAAATACTCTGTAGTTAAAGAATTTTAACTTTTAAAACAAAAGAAATACTCTGCAGTTAAAGAATATTAACTTTTAAAACAAAAGAAATACTCTGCAGTTAAAGAATTCAAACTTTTTAAACAAAAGAAATACTCTGCAGTTAAAGAATATTAACTTTTAAAACAAAAGAAATACTCTGCAGTTAAAGAATTCAAACTTTTTAAACAAAAGAAATACTCTGCAGTTAAAGAATATTAACTTTTAAAACAAAAGAAATACTCTGCAGTTAAAGAATTCAAACTTTTTAAACAAAAGAAATACTCTGCAGTTAAAGAATATTTAACTTTTAAAACAAAAGAAATACTCTGCAGTTAAAGAATTTTAACTTTTAAAAAAAGAAAAAAAGGTCCTATCTGGTTTTTCCGAGTGACAAAAATTCCAGTATCATTTATTGTGTTTTTAACAAAGCACCGTTTAAAAGATATTTCTGTGGAATAATGGATGCTGTGAATTTGATCGGTAATCGGATCCTGGATGAATATTTAAAAGGTCAGGATCGTAGGAATCCATGGAAGAATTGTCTGTTCTTGCAGATATATGTACTGTTCATTCTCTTGGTGTTTTGCGTGTTTTGGTACATGTATTACGGATCAACTCCATTTTATTCATTTTGCAAGTGGAAATACTAGACTAAGTATGTCGAACGGAGATGGTAAAAGTACCTAATAATCTATAAAAACAATCATAGTCGAATTCTTGCGTTGTTGGGACAGGGACAATGAGTATCTCGATTAACTTTCTTTTAGAAAAACTTCATTGGTCTCCAATTTTTAAAATATGTTTGACAACACTTTCTACCGGTGAGAAAATTTGTTTAAAAGGAAATGTTCAGAGGGAATGCAGAAACGACAAAAATTTACAGACAGAGAAATCATCGTATTCAAACGAATCTACTACGGTGTGAATAACTGTGCATACCCTCATAACAAATTGTGGCATTTAAATTTTGTTAATATCTTGTTCATTGCCTAACATTTGAATAATTGAACTTTAAATATTTGTTAAAAAGATACGAATGTTCTGTCAAAAGGTCCATTTGTATGGTAAAGAGGATCCTTGTTCTATATCCTTTAAACAGTATAAAATGTACATTTTAGTCATACTTTGATGACATACTTTTAAAGAATAGAACCAATGTTCAAAGGTTCGAAAACAATCATTTCCGTCCTCTTAAATTTCATGTTTGTATCCCATTTCAGAGATATATTGTTTTTAAAAAGTGTTTTGACATAATGGAATTTTATTTTCATTTTTATAACCTTATTTTCCAAACGTTGATAATTATTCTCATCGATAGACAGACAGATTAACTATCTACTTAGAAAAGTAACACAATCTGAAAACGCTATTAAATATTGCATTTAAAATGTTGTTTTCTGATCTTCAGTTATTGGCATACATGGGTTAATTCTTGCTTTTCGATACAGTTTTTCTGAATGTAACAGTTTTGAATTCCATATCAAAAATACTTAGTTTAATTTAAAAAATATTTGATTAATTCTAGTGCAAAAAACTTGATACTATGGTAAACTTAAATAAACTATATTCAGCTAATGGACCAACTATTGTGGAAACACATTGCATTTTGGGCCTTTTCTGGGCAATTTCATTTTTGAAAAATGCCCAGTTTTAATTGAAAAAATGATAAATTTTATTTGGATCCTTTGTGACGTACTATATCATAAAAATATTTAATTTTCTCTCCATAGTCCATGTATTATGACGTCATGCAATGCGTTTCATGAATTGCGTAGTTTTCTTCAAACCTGAAAAATTCTGAAAAATAGCAAAATTAAATCTTTTTTCGATATTTTGCACAGCCCCTAACCTCGGATCCAATTTTTTCATAATATAATGAAAGAACTGTTTATTTGAAGGTACTTGGACACAGATTTTAAGTTAATTTTTTCTCTGTAATATTACAATATAATTATAATATTATAATATTATATATTTTAATAGCATTCCACATATATAATATATAATAGCAAAAATTAATTTAAAATCTTATCTCATTAAAAAGTTATTAAGACTTCAAATTTTTGGCGGGTTTGATTGACACATCCTTGCACTTTCACAAATTTTAATTTTACTCTTAATACTTAGGAAAAGTGGCAATCTTGTTGTGTATGAATGCAAAATATTAATATTATAATCCAGAAAATACAAAGTAG